AAATAAAATGTTTTTGTTTACTTGATGCTTTTTTTTTTTATTCTCTTATAACAGAATTTGTTTTTAAAACTAGAAACAGATATTGAAAAGCATTGTTTTAAATACTCTTCTTACAGTAATATGTTAAAACACTTGTGTTTCTGGAAATTATAGAGATTCAAGATTTTCTGGAATATCGAGCTTTATAGTTTGATACATTAATGTTGAAATGATGTGTTCACTTTGAATATGCCGAAGGTGGGTAAATGTAAAAAAATCGTTTTATTTACTTGGATATCAGCAGTGTTGAAGTACAAATTTATTTGATTGGTATGTAGTTCATTTTACCAGCTAATACAATGTAGTACATTCAATAAATTTGGTGCTTGCACTATGAAATTGAGTTTACTAACTAATACAGCGTAGTGCATTGAATTGGTTTAATGATCGTTATATTTAACCCATAAAAGAATGTTCATAATATTTTGTCTTTTATCTTGGTTTTATACGGTTATTAGGAATTTCTCATTGTTGTAACACACTTGTACTGAATGAAATTGTGTTTATTTTTTGACATGTTTTAAATTATTATTGCAAACACTGTAAAATGTAGGCATGAGAATTTTTAGTAGGTGCTCTAATATTCACATTGTTAAAATAAGTTGGGAAGGAATTCTTGACAGGTTAAGTTCTCTAGAGAATAGTGGATATTTAAAATTTTTGTAGTTAGTTCACAATGGCAGTTTTTACCAATAATTTATCATTCTATAGAGCCAATCAGAGGATCAGGAAGTGTCATGTAAAGTTTGTGGGAAACATGTTTACTTGATGGATAAAATCATGGCTGTGAAAAGTGCTTTCCATAAGTCTTGTTTTCGTTGCAAGGAATGTGGAAAATCACTGAAGTATGTAATTTTATAACATATTTGTTAGTATTGTTTATTTAAAGTATAATATAACACACAAGATGTATTATGCTCAGGCTCATATAAAATATTTCAAGAGATTTTTATATATTTTTTTGAGGTTGTAAGTAACATTATCTTCGTATATAAACACCCATCAGAGTTGAAGTCCTTTTATTTTAATGTATGGTTAGGCAGTATCTTAGATAACTTTTGCTTCCTTCAATTTTGTGTAATAACTAATGTTATTGATAATTTTGGGAAATGTACGTATAATCTAACTCCATTATATAAACATTTCAATTAGAAGAATTAATGATTTAATTACGTTTAAACACATTTCAAGCTTCATTCTGTGTATAGATATATCCTAATGCTATTGCATTCATTTTATTCTTTGTTATTCAAGTATGGATACCTACTCGTCCCATGCAGGAGAAATTTACTGTAAACCTCATCACAAACAGCTTCTTCAGCCTAAGGTCTGTAACGGAGAGAGAGTGAAAGGTGAGACTTTAAAATGTTAACCACTTGTATACAGTCACAAACACTAATACTAAACTAGTGCCAGTTAGAATCATTTATTATAACTAGAGTTTCTAGTTCTTCATTAGTTAAACTAAACTAGTGCCAGTTAGAATTATTTATTATAACTAGAGTTTCTAGTTCTTCATTAGTTAAACTAAACTAGTGCCAGTTAGAATTATTTATTATAACTAGAGTTTCTA